ATGAACTGGATTCAGCCGGTTTCTACTGGTTATACAAACACACCACATCCCATCCCAAGTGGTTATAAACTGGAATTAACTGGATCCAACTGGTTTTAGTATTTTACTACTCCCACAACCACAAAAACAAAGTTAGCTACTAAATGAACTGCATTATACTAACCCTATGCTGCTGCCTTGGTCTGAGTTGTTGCAGTTTTCTTGCTGCAGCTTCAATGGATGACGCAGCAGACAAAAGTTCATTCTCTGCAATCACATGCGGATCCTCTGGATCCACCCAGTCAGAACCTGACAAATTAATACAGTGCATCAAAAATAGATTAATATTGTATAATCACAATATCTTCAAGTTAGATGAATTATTAATCGATTATGGCCAACTAGAGTTTAAAGGTTGAAATTTGCAGAAAAAAATCATTCAGACTAATCAAACAAACCAACATGGAAAAAAAAAATCAACTTGATAGCCTTACCTTTCAGAGCCTCTGCACACTGCACCAATTCTCCAACGGAGGTTGCCACTTTCTTGGAAAACTCAACCAGTTTTTGTTTGGCTTCTAACGATGGTTTATTAATTGTCTGTTGTAGAGAAACAATCAGAATATGAAAACAATTCAACATTAAATAACTGTTTAGTCAAATTTTTTGTTGTTGTCAATTGTCAACAACTGTCCAATATTTTAGACAATATGAAATGACTTGTGTATTTTATGCAAAAACTGACAAAAACAGAAACTATACCAAATTGATGCACATTATGATGCATATGAATTTACAAACCGACAATATCAGATTGATGGTGTGAACTTGTTATCAAATTATATGTAACAGCTTCAAAGCCTAATTCAGAATTCTTTATAAAAACTCCTTTCTAATTCAGAATTCTTTATAAAAACTCATTCCTAATTCAGAATTCCTTATAAAAAACTCCTTGCTAATTCAGAATTCTTTATAAAAACTCATTCCTAATTCAGAATTCCTTATAAAAACTCCTTGCTAATTCAGAATTCTTTATAAAAACTCATTCCTAATTCAAAATTCCTTATAAAAACTCCTTGCTAATTCAGAATTCTTTATAAAAACTCATTCCTAATTCAGAATTCCTTATAAAAACTCCTTGCTAATTCAGAATTCTTTATAAAAACTCATTCCTAATTCAAAATTCCTTATAAAAACTCCTTGCTAATTCAGAATTCTTTATAAAAACTCATTCCTAATTCAGAATTCCTTATAAAAACTCTTTCCTAATTCAGAATTCCTTATAAAAACTCCTTTCTAATTCAGAATACCGTATAAAAACTCTTTCCTAATTCAGAATTCCTTATAAAAACTCTTTCCTAATTCAGAATTCCGTATAAAAACTCTTTCCTAATTCAGAATTCCTTATAAAAACTCCTTCGTAATTCAGAATTCCTTATAAAAACTCTTTCCTAATTCAGAATTCCGTATAAAAACTCCTTCGTAATTCAGAATTCCTTATAAAAACTCCTTCCTAATTCAGAATTCCTTATAAAAACTCTTTCCTAATTCAGAATTCCTTATAAAAACTCTTTCCTAATTCAGAATTCCTTATAAAAACTCATTCCTAATTCAGAATACCGTATAAAAACTCTTTTCTAATTGAGATTTCTGTATAAAAAGTACTTCCCCAAATCCATAATTATATTGAGAAAGATCAAAATAGTTACGTACATACTGTACATGTTCCAATAACCCTTTATATGCAGTGGTACATTCCCTACCAGTATAAAGTGTACGATTTCTCAATTCTGGGTTGTCAGCACCAGCAGCCGCACCCTAATCAGAATAAAAACAAACACATTAAACTATCACTATAATTAATGTTATTGAACACAAAAATTGTAATTTATACAGAGAATAATATTTGAATTGAACTGGAAAAAAAATAGAATTGAACGGGACAAAACTAGCATAAACTGGACTAAACTGAATTGACCTGGACAAAACTAGCATAAACTGGACTAAACTGAATTGACCTGGACAAAACTAGCATAAACTGGACTAAACTGAC